AAGGACAGAGCTGATGTGTAGGGAGCTTTGCGTTACGGCTCTGATGCACGATCAGAGGAAGCAGAGGAGAACAGGACCTGACAGCCTCTTAGCACACCTGAGGGGCAGTGGCAGGCATACGGGAGGTCTCAGAATGCAAATTGCAGGAGAAAATGCTCAACTGCGCTGTTTGAAAAGGTGTTTCTGTTTTTACAATGCCCTAAGCTCTAGCCATTGTACCCATCTGCCCTCCTCATGGAGGTTATCACCTGGACTCCTACTGATGTAAAATAAAAAAAAGATTACCTGCGTTACTACTACTGTGAACAATACTGCAAGTCCATGTCCTGTAAGCATAAAATCTTTCCATTCATCTTCAGTGGCCATCAGTTCTTTCATTTAAAGTTAGTACCATAAACATCAGATCCAGAGAGGTCCAGCTGAGGTGGAGCAGGGACGAGAGAACTGTTTCTCTGAAATTTATTTTTCTGAGATGACAGATATTTTTTTAATAGAGTTTATCTGGATTCCCCTTTGCCACTTTGCTTCTGATGATGGAGCTGAGGTTTTAAATCTAAGGTGCTTTAATCATCAGCTTAGCTGCTAAAAGCAGTAATAAATTTGGGATTGTTTTTTTTCTTTTAAGCTTCTGTCTATGCCTTGTGGCTATATTCTGCCTTGATTTATAAACTTCTCATCCCATGGGGTTACAAGGCAGTCTGCATCAGATAACGAGCTTGGCTCCGTGAGTCTCTCCGCTGTTGTGAATGGGCATCAGTCAGCTGAGGCTTACCCCAGTGTGTTACCTCCTCTTGAGAAACTTCATGACAGCTAAAGAAAATGTGGAAGTCCTTTCAGGATGTCACCTGTCATGGTGTCACACAGTTAGTTACCTGCGTCAGAGCAAGTGCTCCAGTTAGAGTTACTGAATGAGAAAGGATGTATTGTAAGTATCTAATAGTAATAAGTGCCTAATTATCAGGAACTACACGTACTGAGAACGTGGATTCTTTCTTTCCCCAAATACTGGCAATTAACCAGTACAGATTATCATTGCTGTCAGTGGTCATGTCTCTGGCGATACGCATGCCCTAAGGGCTGTGTTGGGTAGTGCTGTGTGGAAGGTGAAAAAAGAAATATCAGAGAGGAGCAAGTGAAGCCAGAGAGACACGTGTTCAAGTAAATAACAAGGAGGCAAGAAGTTGATTGACCCTCAGGTCTGGACCGTCAAGCCCCCTGGCTCTGGCCAGGCTGTTACGACGTAGCCCAGGTAGACAGGGAAGTGATGAAAAGATTTGGATGTTTCTATTGCCAATAGACACATGATCTACAGATCAAGTACATTGGTCCTCTTCCCTTCATCTTGCTGTTAAGTATCTCAGGCATAATAAATCCATGTAGAGCACAAATCTAGATGGAAAGAAATCTGTTTGAGGAGCCTGATTTGTCTGCCCCAAGGTAGCTTTGCAGCTGTGTGAGACTAAGGTGTTGCTGATTGAAAGCAAGTCAGAGAGCAGCATTGTTACCAGGTCAGCTTCATCGGGGTGGCTGGAGAGGAGGCACTGTGCCAGGCTTCCCGAGTCACGCTGTCCTGGGCTGGCGTGGCAGTTTGATGGAGCAGCTGGTTGTGGGAGAGGTGGCAAGAGCAATGTGAAAATGAAATTAAATGGAGCAGCAGTAACCAGGCAGAGGGTGTTAACAGCTTCAGCTGACTCTTAGAAGGCAACTCCACTTATTGCTGAAGGCCCCTGTTACTGTTTCTCGGTTCTCATCACTGAACAGCCCTGTGGCTCAGATTTAATTCAGCATTGATTTCTGGACCAGCTTGACTTCTTTCCTAGCAGAAGCAAACTATTAACCTAAAATGCTGTAGTGGAAGCAGGTGCAGTGATTTCACACCTGAATCCAGTTCACTGCAAGTGTAGACAAGGGAACCGGTCACTGGTAACATCTCGGGGTTGCTGGTGTATATGAACACATATGTGTGTGAATGCTAGTGCAGACTTGCTCCCTGAAATGGTGCAGGGTCGTTTTTAGAAGCTAATAATTCTTTATGATGGGTGTTTGAATCTGTTTTTCTTCCATACTATTTTTTTTTCCATAGATAAATTCTTTATTAACTAGAAATCTTGAATAAAACTTCATGTTCCCTTTGCATATGAAGTTGCTTCTCCAATGTATAGTTACTGAAGGTGCTAAATTGAGTGAAAAGAAATAATTACCCAATTGTTTGACAAAGACAAAGCATATTGGTGTGGTGGCAGGCCTTTGTAGTGTAGATCATGAAAACTCCTAGGTAAGTACAAGTGAAAACACCTTGAGTAAGGGACAGGGTAGGAAGAAAGGATTATCATTGCATTTTGCATGCTAGATCAGGCAGGTAGTTTATGTCAAACATATCCAGTCAAGAATTGTAATCCTGCCATGATTTCAGTAAAAAATTGGCTTTTAGTTGAAACCAGTCATGTCTCATTTACATGTCTAAATTTTATGCAGCCGAACAGACCTTCATGCTCATAAAACAAAGACCAGAATTGGTCTCTCTGCACTTGTGATTATCAGCATTTTCAGACATATACTTTGGGCACTTCATTTTTCCATTTACCCACAGATACCAGAGTTCAGAACTTCTCAGGTCCCTGAATTGCGGTGCTGTTGGGGTGTAAGTAAAGGTGCACAATCCTGTGTGTTTGCTCTAATGAGGCTATACGTCTTCCATAGAAGTATTCATTTCAGGAGGAACAGGGGCAGCTGTCAACCACTATTTTGTGGTGTCTTAAGAAATATGTAGCGTCATTGTGCCCACACAGCTTAGTAAGTTTGACAAGCTGAGATAAGCACTTAGAACTGGCCTTTGTTTTTAATTTTAAAAATGGTATGCTTGGCACTGTTAGCCAGCACAGATCTTGGCAGATCTTTAAGAATAATTTGGTGGTGTTTTCCCAAGACATGCCCACTCTAGAGCACAGTTAGTCTTGGCACTGGAGAGGGTCTGAGTTGCTGGAGAACAAATGTTGTGGCCTGCTGCCTTTTGAGGGGTGACAAGTGGTTGGAGAGACTGTGGAGCCTGTGAACACTTTCTGCACTAGTTGGTCCATGACACTGTATCCTGCAGCTGGATAGGACTCGATGGACAAGCTGTTGAATGACAGCAGCTTCTTCCACTTGCATGGCTTGCAATTGTTGTGGTGATGGCCCTTGTTGTCCATTAGGCACTCTCGTGGAGGAGGTGAAGATGTCCATGCTGTCTCTGTGCAGGAGACCATAGGTGAGGTAGACCAATGCCCACCTTTCGTATTCCACCTGGACAGTATCAGTGAGGTGCACGACTCCTCACTACACCTGGGCATGCATTTTGGACTTCTTCCAAGTCTGGAAAGACAGCATCAGCTATAGATTCAAGAGGCATAGCTCTTTCTTTAGGACTGCTACAGGCTGCTCCTCCTGGTCAACTCAAGGAGTCAACACAGCTGCCAGCTACAGTATTGGGAGACTGTGAGGTCTCACTAGGAGACAAATGAGAAACGAACCTGAGTTGTGTCAGCCTGAACAGTCCTGACAGTCACTTCTTCAGCAGAGTGGCCAGAGACCTATATATCTCCTGGTGGTGCTGGAGGAAGTTGTATCTCAAGCAGAAAAATGAGATAAGGGTGACACACTCTACCGGTACCAGCTCAATTCAGTTCAGTCTTGGTTGCAAACAGAGCAGAGGGAGAGCCCCTGAGCAACGCAAGCACAGTCCAGGATGGGCTTCAGATTCAAAAGCTGAAAGTGTACATCCTCAGCGTGGGAGGGCTGTTTTCAGAGGGACATAAGAGTGCTTCATAGGAAGCAGAATGTGGTAGTGGTGAAAGGTCCGTATTGCACAATTACAACATTAGCCTTGTCCTGAGATAGGTCTCTTCCTCCTTCATCTCTTCATGGTCAACGACAAGGTAGCCAAGCCTTAGATTGTTCTTCCAGCTCATGGCTCAGTAGCTAAAGGAAAGATGTTCATTAAATATCTAGTGAAGTAAAGACTTGGGTTTGTGTTCTGCCTCTGTTTAAAATGCTGCTGTCTGTGCTGGACACTAATGATTTTTATTTTTTCTGGGGTAGTAGTCACATGAATAATGCATTCCCTGCTGAGCCTTTTTAACAGTCCCCTAGCTGCTTCCCATCTGAAGGGAAGTGTAAGAGGTAATTAACAGCCACTTGAAAAAAGGATTAGCAGGTGGGTGGGAGCTACTGTTGGGTTCATGCATGGAATTGCCATGGAAATGCTGAGATTTCCTGGCACTTCATCCACTGTGTGGGCTCCAAAGATAGTTGCACTCATGGGCCTCTCTCCTTTCGATCTTCCTACCCTACAAAGGGAGCGGCTGCGTTTTCCTTCTGGACAGCTTCCGCAGGCTGTGCCGTCGCCATCTGCACTCACGCTGAGGCTTGCTGACCAGGGGTGCTGCAGAGAGCGGGACGCTGTGTGGCAGCTGTCGACCGAAGTCTTTTTGTATTTCTTTCATATCAAACCAATTGGCAGAAAGTCAGGAGGGGAAAAAAACAAACGCTGGTGGTTTGCCCCTTTCCCTTAGTTCTAAAAAAGAATAACCTGGTGCACAAAACACTCCGAGTTTGTCACTTAGAGAAGTTGGTGCTGGTCCTTGTCCTGCAGACTTTCACCAGCTCAGTAGCCTTTGTGTGGCTAAACCCACTGAAGTAGACAGCCTTGTGCAGCTGAACAAGGGCTGTTTTGCACGTAAGCATTTTCAGGCTGTGCACTGAGACCTGCGTTTGCTTCTAGCCTTGTTTGGTGGCCATGCAAGCTTAAAATATTAGGCGTATTTGTGAGAAATGTGTCTCCTTTCAGTACCAGCTCTAGAGGTTTAGAAAACAAAGAGCATGCATTCGTCTGAAAACGTTCCTGGGGAGACCTACCATATCTGTCTCCCCATTCCCCTCTCTGCAGCAGTAACAAAGAGCCTCCTGAATTTGTTGATGTGTGGGGTGCTTTGGTTTTAAGGAAAGTGTGCCATTTGTTTCAGATCACCTGTTGGCAGACTCGTACGTTGGACAGGAGGACTCCCCCGAGATGCAGCAGACAGCACAGAACAAGCGCAGGCTCTCCGTCATCTCAGACGGCAAGTTTGAGAGGAGCTTCTCTGAGGAGCAGGCAGAGAAGATGCCAAGCGAGGGACCGAAGCCACGAGTCTACACGATCTCCGGCGAGAGGCCGATGCTGTCGGACCATGAGAATGAAAGTATGGAACTGGTGGTGATGAAGGGGGCTGCCCAAGAGGAATGCCACCATGGCCACCAAGTGCACAGTGCTGGCGGCTCTCACGGCGTTAGCAGGCATTGCAAGGGCTGGCCAGGCAGCCGGCAGGGCTCCAAGGAGTGCCCAAACTGCACCCGCCTGGCTGCCCCTTCCCAGCATTCCTTTGACCTGGAGCAGCATCAATCCAGCGAGACTGGGTGGCACAGGAAAAGGCTGGAGAGGATGTATAGTGTCGATCGAGTGTCTGGTAAGTAAGGGTGGGTCCTGGAAGGACACAAAGGGACTCATTGACACAGGGGTGAAGGGTGACACCCATCTCATCCCAGCACGGAGGTTTCATTGCCATGTGCCTCGAGTTGGGCCCTGTAGTGGTTCCCCTTCAGCACCTTGCTGGTACCTTGCACCAGCATTCGTGGAAAGGGATTGTCAAAGGAGGAGTTTGAAATAAGCTGAGCTCAGTTTGAGGCCAGCTTGTCCAAGCTCCTTTGTCTCTGTTTCTAGCCTGTAAGTGGTAGATGGCCTGGGTGGTTTTCATGACAGCTTCATGTAGCTTAGTGAGGGTGATCTCTGTGGGCTCCCTTTCTGTTGAAGGAAGAGCAAGAGAGGAGGGGCTGTGTGAAACCACCTACATTTATTCTCATCCAGGAGGCAGTTCAGAGCAGGACCCTCTCTCCTCTGCCTCATTCTGGGGCTGAGGCAGTTGAAACCTTTGTGAATGTGCCAGGGTGCTCAGCGGGAGCCTCAGCTCAGCTCAGGTACGGTGTTCTGTACTTTGGTGTGTCCCCAAAATGCTCGTCTGTGTGGTTGGAAATAGTTTAGCAGGGTCCCTCATGTGGTGCCACCTCATGGGCTTTCTATAAATACTAGCAAATAACACAATATTGGACTTTCTTCCCCACTCACCATCCATTTGCTCAGCGTTCTCAGGGAATTGGGCTTGCAATTATTCAATTACATTTAAAAAAATCCCTGATTGTCTCTAAAAACTTAACCGTTAATCAAATATATGTTCCAATATATGTACTTTGAATTATAAGCTAGTACGCAGTCTGTCTTTGCCTGTCAGCTCTATATGTGCCTGGCAAATAGTCTGACCTAATTTGTCTGATTTTTTTTTTTTTTTTTTTTTGTAAACAGACATCAAGGTTTTTAGAGCAGAGTGTCCAGCCAGGAAAGGTCAAGGTTTTCTCCTTGAAAAGAAACCGAGTATAAGGATTGTTGAGATCAAATTGTACATCTTTCCTGGGTTCATAGTTTTCTAGTAAATATCATAGTGATATTTACTGCAGGTACAACCACTGAAAGTTTGGGTTCTGGACCATATTTTCATACCTAGATGCTTGAAATTCTGTGACTGAATTAATACATGACCTAATACTGAATAATAATAATAATAAAGAACTGATTATCAACTCTGCAGAACACCTACAGTCCCACTAACTCCTGTGCATAGTTTTTAAGCATTGTTCCTCTGTTTGTTCCCTGTGATTTTTGGACTTCACATCAGACAATACATGTGCAAGTTGACTTAATTATTTTTAGTGCTGAAGTGCAAGAAAAGGAGTGAGAAGAGTTTTCCTGTATGGAAACCTTTTATGGTTTTATAATCATATGTATTTTACCCGTTAAGAGATGGCTCTGCATATGGTGACACAGCCAGAAAGCTTGTGTGAGGATAGAAAAAGAAAGCCACTTCAGGAAGGGAGATCACAATCCCAGGGGCTTGGTCTTCTGGAGATCAGGGTGCTGAGTTGAATCAGTTGCAGCCTCATGATGTGTACTGAACTAAGAAAGTCAAGATTTCCTGTTCTCGTGCTGATGGATTTCTGTTGAAAGCTTTCCTGAACAAATCAAAATTGTACTATGTACTGTGGGACTGAAGCAGGTTACTTGATACAGAACCAAAGGAAAGCTCCACGTCACTAATGGAAGAGTTTAACTCCTCATAGCTGAAGCTAAACACCTCTGTTTGCTGCAAAACATATCCTAGCAAATGCTGTAGAGAGATGTTCTGTTTCTGGGCCTTGGGATTTATATGTATTTTCAACTAGGCAGCAATTTTTGTTAGGGCCAGTTATCAATGTGAAATGGAGATTTGCCTTTTGAAAATACATCAGAGTAACTTAAAAGGGAACAAAGTCGACAGCACTGAACCTGCAGATGCCTCCGTGAGTTTCACGTTTCGTACAAGCAGGCAGCAGCTACCCTCGGTGCTTGTCTCAAGCTTCTAGGTGCTTCCACGTGTGGCTGCACAGGCAGCGCTGTGCCTCTGACACCAAATCCCATCACAGCACTGGCATCACAGAAGGAAAGTTTTCTCAGCTTGGTCTTGTTTGCGCTCTCTATCCAAGTGTTGTTACTCAGAGAAAAACTGAGAATTCAATGGCACAACTGTCGCAGATTGCAAGAAATATTTCTTGGAATGTCCTTTGTGCATGGCTAGCAGAGAAAACAGAGCAGAGATGAATGGAGGCGAGAGAGACTAATTTCCCCAAAGGTTCACTTTACAGTGCTGCTTTCTCTGTTTGGATTTACATCACACGTTATTGCTGCAAACTAACACTCATGGCAGTTAGGCCAGATTGGCATAATTTAATATGGATTTTTATGCTGAGTTTATGATGCCTAACACCATTCCAGAGAAGCACAAGCTGTCTTCTCCTGTACCACTCCGAGTGTCTGATACAAACACATCCACGCATGGACAGAGGGGCTGAGATTTGCATGCAACCTGGCAAGTGGCTGGAGATGCTGAACATAGTGATGGTGGTGGTCCTCCACTCTTACCCAAGCCCATGGTTCCTTGACTATTGCATCATAGTTGTTGGTAACAAGAAAGAATAACGAGATGCTCTGCCTGGCCAAAAAGGAGTGTGCTGCCTGCTCCTGGAAGCAAAATAACCATACCTATAACCTGAATTTTAATTAGCTGGATGAGCTCTGGAGCTGCGCTGTGCTCCCTAGTCCCCAGCTGTGTGCTTCTTGGCTACTGTTCTTCCTCTGGCTGGTAAAGAGGTGTCTCTGAAGGGTCACAAATCCTTTATTCTCCATTGAGTGCTATGGGTAGGGGAGTGATATCTTTCCTGTGTTGACTCCTGCCTATCAGAAAAGGAGCAGAGGCTTCCAGCGATTGTCCAGGCAAAGTCTCATAAGGATATTAGCTGTTGTTCGTAAGCTCTGCTTTGAATCAAAGCTGGTGGCTTAAAAGCTGTAAAATACATTAAGAGATTGTCAGTCCTTTGAGATGCATAGTCCCTGAGAAGTCTGTACAGAATTGTTGGCTAAAACAGAATATGTACAACTTCTCCTCCTTCACCACTTTTGTGGGTTTGAGACTTCAAACAAGTAATTCATTTCCAGTCTGAGCTGGTTTGCTTTTTTTCTCTGTCTGTTTTTTGGAGGAGAGCAGACATAGGAACTTCATAGTAAGTATTTAGCATACCGGATTGTAGTTTTCATTTAACATATATATTTCCTTAGGGTGCCTTTATACAAGGCTTGACATAAACTGTTAGCTGAGAGTTACAGCTTTCTATATGATTTCTTGGAAGCTTCACTTCAAAGGAAGCCTCTCCAGTTGCATTTAGCATTTTTTGCATCTGTAATTGCAGCCACTTTTTGTACTTTCAGGGAGCAGCAAGATCAGTCTGTAGTAGATGATGATCTGTACAGATCTGGTAAGATACCTGGTCTGTAGTAATTATGTCTGCAATAGGCATGGAGGGTTTGATTGGGTTGTGGCCAATGAAAGTAAATAAAAAGAATGTTCTTGTCAATGCCTGAATATTAATGACTAAGATACCGTAGTTGCTAATGATCTTAAAACTTGAATGAGTGAAGCAAGACACATGATCAGCAACATGTGGTGAGGTATTCAGCAAGGAAACCACAAATTGGGAGTGAAGCAGGGTGAAATATCGGGTAGCCCCAATTCCCAGGGATCCAGTCCACTGAGATCTCGCTCGTCTTGTGTCAGTGGATTTTAATACACCTCTGATTCCCTGCCTGACCGACTTCAGCCTGAGGGGTCTCAGTAGGGGCTGCTTCTTGGTCAGATTCCTTCTTCTGGTTACCACCATCCCAGACACGTAATTAGTGACTTATTTTCCTGCCTGCTTTTTGTCTTACTGGTCATTATGTGAAGGTGATGCGGTGTCCTAATGCAACAACAGAATTAGGAAATAATCCACAGTTGATTCAGGCAGGACAGTTTACAAACATAGGGAACCAAATAAGCACAGAGTTCTCTGCAGATTGTATAGCTGATGTATGCTTTGACGTCTAAAACCAGAATAGCTCATGAAGGCCAGGTCATCGGGAGCAGCTGTGTGAGAGGTTTATTGAAACTTCAATGGTAGAAAAAGAGATAAATCTCAGGCTTACAGTTACTGTGGTTTAACCGCAGCCAGCAACCAAGCACCACGCAGCCGCTCACTCACTCCTTCCCCCTCCCAGTGGGATGGGGAGGAGAATCAAAAAAAAGGAAAACTCATGGGTTTAGATAGGAACAATTTAATAACTAAAGTAAACTAAAATGTAATGCTAACGATAATAATAATAAAATATAATAATACTAATAATTGTAATGAAAAGGAATACAACAAAAGAATAGAACCCAAGAAAAGACAAGTGATGTACAATGCAGTTGCTCACCACCCGCTGACAAATGCCTGAGCAGCGATCCTCCTGGCCAACTCCTCCCAGTTTATATACTGGGCATGACGTCATGTGGTATGGAATATTTCTTTGGCCAGTTTGGGTCAGCTGTCCTGGCTGTGTCCCCTCCCAAATTCTTGTGCCCCTCCAGCCTTCTTGCTGGATGGGCATGAGAAGCTGAGAAATCCTTGACTTAATGTAAATACTACTTAGCAACAACAAAAAACATCAGTGTGTTATCAACATTATTCTCATACTAAATCCAAAACATAACACTGTACCAGCTACTAGGAAGAAAATTAACTCTATCCGAGCCGAAACCAGGACAACTTCCAAGTCTGGAAGAGAGGAAGGTGAATGCTTTTCATCTTCTGCGGGAGGCTGTATCAGAAAGAACTGGATGAATGGGACATTTCAGATTAATGGTACTAAGGAAGAGGCAGAGGCTGGAAAACGCTTTTAATGAAGAATGTTCTTTCTCCTGTTTTTTTTTTCTTGTTCAAATGTCTGTTCTGTAATTCCTGGATTATTCTAATCTTCCACGCTTAGGATAGAGCTTTCACACTTCATTTAGTAGCCTGATAGACAGGCTTAGCACAAATTTACAAAATACTTGATGATAGTGTGCATATATATGAGGAGAATGAGACTCTCCTGTTTAGTACAGGGCAGGATGCTGAAGAAAAGTACTAAGAGAAAAAGCTCGGAAAGTCTTGCTGTCTGAACGATGTCTCTGCACACTGGATTCTCAGGTTTTGCTCTCTCTCTCTTCCAGATGATGTCCCCATACGAACCTGGTTCCCAAAAGAGAACCTCTTCAGTTTTCAAACTGCTACTACAACTATGCAAGCGTAAGTGAAACTACTGCTGTAGCTTTCATTGTGTATCTTAAAGTTCACAGCCTGCTCAAAGCTGTATCTGAGAGCCTGGAGCAATCGAGTTGTATGTTTGGCACCGCAGTCTGGGGGTGAGAGAGAACACCTTGTCTCTTATTAATTTCTTTTTTGCACTTACTAGTTCTCTTTCCTACTACTCCCCCACTTATTTGGGTTTACCTTCTTTAACTCCTTGGGCTACCCAGCTCTTCTCTGCTTCCCTTATTTTCTCTGTGACACTGTGCCCTGTCCCTGGCTGCCTCTGCAGAGTGAGGGTCCTGCGAGAGCACCAGCTGAGACCCTCCACCACTTCCTTCTGCTGCAGCCACTGCCCCGAGGGAATGTTATTGCAGGCTTGCCCTGTATCCGTCACTCCGGAGGAGTGTGTCTCTATAGGATGAGACATAGCTCTACAGCTTCTGCCCTGGTCTGGTTATTTGAAGAAGGTGAAGAAGTGTGAATGGATCTGAGCTAGGAGCAGCCTTTCCCTCCACTCTCCACGCAGGTTTTGGTGCCCCTGGTTGCTGTGCGTTGGGAGGAGGCAGTTCTTGAAGGACTGAAGGGAATAAGGGAAGCCTCATTTCCAGTTTGTACCCAGCTTGTCAGGAAATGCCGTCTTCCTGGTTTCAAGTATTTCCTACCTGGCTGGAAAGCCAAAGCAAACAATGGGGGAAATGAGACGCTGTTCTGCCTTCTAAGGCCCTTCTCCAGCCTTGTCACCTTTTTTCCTGTGTCCTCCTTCCAGTGTCTGTGTCACCCTCAGCTCTACTGCTCTCTTGACTTCTCTTTGCCTAATAGTGTCCTTTTTGTAATCTGTTTTTCTGTCATTTCTTCTTTCCCTCATACCTTTCCCTTCCCAAATCCTGAAAAGAGGCTGATTGTTGATCTTGGGATAACCTGGACTGGATCAGACCTGTAAGGACTGATGTAGGGAGAGCTGGATCTGGCACTGGGGAGAGGGGTAGCTATTGGCATATTGGAAAGCATCTGCATCCCCCAGAAAAAAACACTTGTCTTCATGCCCTTCCCCTCTAGCTCTACTGGAGGTGTGACCCACCCTCCCAGCATGGTGAACAGCACAGGAGAGGCATTTGCCTGGTGCCAGTCTGTGGAATCTGATGCATGGTGGTGGGGTGCTAATCCCACCCTGACAGTGGGAGTGAGTAGCCTCTGTGGGCTTCTGCTCTCTCTATATTGTCCTAGTGCTGCTTCTCTTACCTGACCCCTGTGTCCCCCTGCCTCCTTTTCAGGGATTGTAAATCTGGTGGCATCCCAGCTGGTTATCACTCCTGGGCACCAGGCTGACAGGGCCCGTGGGCAGTCCGAGGGCAATTTGACAGATACTTGATTTGCTCTTTAAAAATATTGGCTGGTAACAGCGAATGGTATTTTACAGTTCTGATCTGACACACCAAACCATGCACAAAATGAACACGTTTCCTTTGCCTTTGGGCTCATCCTTAGCTTATGTGAAGTCATCTTTGCTGGGCACAAGGTTTGTTGCAGGATGATGGCCCACGGCAGGGCTTACAGGGCTTGAAGGCCAAAGTGAGGCTGGTTTGGGGAACGGTGCCCTTGAAGAGCACAGCTCCCTTGGTTAACGTAGCTCTTCAGTTAATGTTTCTGGAGATTCTGTGCTGCCTCTAGAAATTGCATAGAAACATCTCTGAAAGTTCAGGACACCTCCATAAGCTGGTTGAAGGGGCTCCCCCAGGTGCCCCTGTCCTCCTGACCTCCGCTCTAGTGTTTTCAGCTCACTGTGCTTGTTTCCTTCATAATCCGGACAGCGTGAGCTGACTTCACGAGTCTTTGACACTGTCGGAGAAGGTCTCCATGCTCCAGAAGCCCATGATGCTGAGCTGCTGTTGTAGCCTGACGGGCCATGTTCAGCTGTCAGTTGTACCTCTGCATGTTCTCTGGGTCTACATGGAGCTTAATTTGCATCCAAGCCACATGCCAGCACTTCCCCAGGGACGATTTAGCTCGGTCAAGTAGGAGTCTCACCACTGAGAAATGTTTAATTTAAAAAGCAATTTCCTTCCACCTAACAAGAAATATTCCTTCTGGAGTGAGAATTCCCTCAGAACACTGGCCGGGGCTGAGCACTAATGAATTCCTCTTCTCTTTCTCTTTCCC